ATCTTTCAATCTTTATTGCATTCAAAACAACTTTATGTTTTCAAAATTTATATATCATATTAAAAATTTTCAATTAAAAAATATATTTCAAAATTGGTATAATTAGACCCTATATATGTCAATTTGAAATATATGCTTTATTTGAAAATTTTAATATGGCATGTAAAATTTGAGAACATAAAGTTGTAAAGAATGCAATAAAGGTCAAAATATTTTAAAATTAAAAAAAAATTATTATTAAGCAAGAAATAACAAAAAATATTTTTACTATTCTTTTATTATAAAAAATTATAGTAATAAAATTTTTAACTTAAAATCTGCCATTATACAGTTATATAAAAATTAATAAGACTAGACATATGTTTGTAGTAGATGATCAACCACTCTACTGCAATAGCCATAAAGCCTAATCACAACATGAGATTCTTGCATTGCTATCATATCCATAGAGTCTAATCACAACATGAAATCCTTGTACCTCTATTATAGCTACAGTGCTTAATCACCAAACATGAAGCTCTTGCATTGCCTGCAGCTACCATAGAGTCTAATCACAACATGAGTTCTTACATTGCTATAGCAGCCACGGAGCCTAATCTCCTTGTACTGTTTTTGTAGTTGCAAATTTAATCACCAAACATGAGGTTCTTTACTGCTCATAGCCACCATAAAGCCTAATTACAACACAAGGTCCTTGCATTGTTACTTTAGCCAAGGAGCCTAATCACAACGTGAGATCCTTGTACTGCTATTATAGTTGTGGGCTCTATAAAAAAAAAAAGTCAAAATTTTATTCAGATTTTGTTCAGGCTATTATTTTAAATAATGAGCATTTTTCATAATAAAAATTCGAACAAAATCTGAAAAAAACTTTTTTTATGGGAGCTTAATCACTAAACATAAGGTTCCTGCATTGCCTGTAGCAAACATAGAGCCTAATCACAACATGAGGTCCTTGCATTGCCATCGTAGCTATGAAGCCTAATCATAACATATTGGGATGTCAACAATCAGTTTAATCACAAACATATGGCAAGACATATAGTGAAAATCATTATTGAAGATTTTTTTTAAGCAATTTTTAAAAATTTCAAATTATATTAAATTATTAATAAAAAATACTTTTGTACAAACTTTAATAAATTTTGTTATATTGATTTTTTTTTAATTCTGTGAGTTGGTATTTATTCTTTAAGAGTTTCTCTACCAAGTAATAACTGCATATTTTTTTAATATTTATACCTTTGTTAGCTATATATTTAAGCCAAGACTAACAAAGCTAGCTAAAATAAAAGCTTGAGCTATAACCCAAACTATAGTTAAAGTATTATAAAATTTCTTATAATTTCTATATACATTATAATAAAATTTCTTATAATTTTTATATTTATTATAATAAAAAATTTATTATAAATCATACAATTTCAAAAAAATCTTCACTAATGATTTTTATTATATGTCTTGCTCTAAGTTTGTGATTAAACTGATTGTTGACACCCCAATACGGCATGCAACACTTATACGGCATACGGCACTTCTACTTATACGGTGTTACGGTTATACATGGGTACCTAAATTATTTTTGAAAAATTGTATTTTCAACAATATTATATGATGTATTTTTATGAAAGGAGTTCAAAAAATTTCGGCAATAATTTCGGCAGATATGAAAATTAATTTCGGCACTATATAATAATAATTTCGGCTGCCTAAATGCCGGAATTACTTTTTTATTAAGATGGACAATATGTATAGTTACGGTGGGAGAGCTTTAGGTAATTGGTTCGATTTAGCTTCGATAGTGAACAAATAGTAATTAAGATTAAATGGTTTAAATCAATAAACTAACACACATAATTACAGGTTAAGATTTCTATTTATTAATATAAATCAATACATCGGAATATTACAATAATATTAAATACTGTTAATAACCGTTAACAGTCGTTCATCCTTTCCTTCCCTCCTCATAACCTGAAATTATACCTTTAATTCGTATGGGGTTTTAATCACTCATTTTGAGCTTAATCGGTCGTTTTGGGATTTAATCAGTCGTTTGGGGTTTCAATCCCTCACTTGGGGTTTTAATCCCTCACTTGGGGTCGTTTGGGGTTTTAATCCCCAAATACGCCACAGAAATCTTAGCCCAAATAAGAAACACATAAAAATAAAAATAGAAACAATATAATAATACTAAACTTAAAAAATAAAAATTTGAGCATAACATCATCCCTCCCTCGGAAAGATGAGCTCCGGCGAATCGTTCATCCAGTCTTGGCAAGTATTAGAACGTCTACGGGATACCTTAGGGTAATCGCGGGATTTTTTTTTTTTTTTTTTATCACGATCGCCTAAATTATTTTTCTCAAATGGATGTTCTATTAAACTACCAATTCTATCTTTATATCGGCACTTCGGGTTTCGATTATAAGACCGTGCAACTTCATCATCGTAAGAGATCTCCACACTTCAACTCTAACCTTTCGTTTATTCATCTGCACCCTTTTAACCTTAATATTCACTTTATTATTGCTGAACGATGGGATGATACCACTATCCTTACATTTCACCATTCTTACATTATCGCCGATTCATCAGCATGTTTCTTTAAGCTTGTGGATCCTTGATTCGCGCAACCTCATCCATCCAGGTACTGCACATTTCTTGGATATCATTATTGCTTAGTCCACGTCCCTTCACTGACTTCACACCTCTGATATTTTCGACTTTCAACATCCAAACTCTACAAGCACCAACAACTTCCTGATCATTTTCATACGTCTCTTCAATAACACTATTCTTTCGTTTCACTGGGCTTTCATCACGTTTAATTACATTAAAACGGGTCTTAAATGATTCGACTTTTTTCTTCCACTCTATATTTATGACTTCCAAAGTTTCACAACTATCGGTTGGTTTGTCTTTTCCAACACCTATTCCATTAGATTCGCTTTTGGTGTGACTTTTGACTTCGTCATCGCTTTCATGGAGCGGGATTTTCAGACGACTCATATGGGTTTCGGGTTCGTTCTTTTCGGCCCTTATTCTATTCTTATCACAGTATTCAGGGTTATCAGTCTCATCAAGGCATTCCATGTTCGGGCAGTAAATTGTCACCTTATTTTCATCCCGTGTAACGCTTATGCCGTTTAGGTAACTTAGGTAACAACGTTCAAGAGCCCACATTGCATCAGTATGACCCATATCCGCAGGCTTTTGATAGTTAATGAATGCCTTAGGTTCATATT